TATATATATATATATATATATATATATATATATATATATATATATATATATAAGGAGAGATAAATCTTTAGACATTTACATATAGTTTAATCGAAATCTCAGTCGTTTACTACCCACTTTTTAATCATTGTAAGAGTAGAAATGGATAGAAGTAATTTTTTTCTTTAGTTTCCAGTTTCAAAATGCTGATATTTTTAACAGGACTTGAAAACGTTAAGTCACATTTTAACATGGGCAGTATGTGATCCAGTGATGGCTTTATCATTGCTCGGTCCGCGTCAATACCCAACGCATCCCATTACAGTGCAGTATGCTGTACGTGTATTGAGGTCATACCCACCAGATGTGCTTTTGCTGTATATTCCGCAACTTGTTCAAGCTTTACGGCATGATACGGTATATTTCATCAAGGAAGTTCTGAAGACTTTGAAACTAATCAGATTCATAATTTTCAGCATTTCCCTTTCAATTTTAATTTCAATCGTTTCAATTTTTAACATAGCACAAATAGTTTCTAGATGGGTTATGTTGCTGAGCTAATTATGTGGTTGGCTGGTCATTCACAACTTTTGGCTCATCAGTTGCTGTGGAACATGCAGGCAAATATGTATAGGGACGAAGATTCAAAGGAAAAGGATCCCGATTTGCATGGACCTTTAAGCGAATTGATCAACAAGGCATAGTTCCTTAGATTTTTACTTGTTCTTGTTTATATTTTAGTTATACTATTTTCAGATTTTCTTATTTAGATAATATCAAACATGGAAGGTGCTGCACGAAAATTTTACAATAACGAATTTGACTTATTCAAGCAAATCACTGATGTATCAGGAAAAATTAGGCCATTTCCAAAGGGCGAAGCTAGAAAAAAGGCTTGTCTAGCTGCCCTCGCTGAGATACATCTAAAAACGGTGGCTTATCTGCCATCTAATCCGGAAGCAATAATTTTGGATATAGACTACAAAAGCGGGACTCCAATGCAAAGGTAGGATTGCACGTCGTTTGTGAATGAAAAGTGCTTTTAAAAATTTCGAGAAATTTCCATAACTATTTTTAGTGCCGCTAAGGCGCCGTTTTTGGTGCGATTCAAGGTCCTTCGTTGTGGTATTCAGAAATTGGAACGATTAGGAATCGCTGCACATCAACGTGAACACATTCCGGAAGCAGATGTTCAATTTCTTTCAAGAACAGAACATAGTCTTGTTTGCTGGCAAGCAGCCATTTTTAAAGTTGGCATTTTTGTCTTTCAGAAATTTATTTACTATGTGATTAGTCTTTTTTTTTTTCAACTATGACAAGTGACATAAATAAAATTCACTATTCTGTCACTTATTTTATTAGAATTATAAATGATCTTTGAATATGTGTATGTTTTACCTCAGGTTGGTGACGATGTACGTCAAGATATGTTGGCGTTGCAACTGATGAGACTGATGCGTAACATTTTTAATTCTGTGGACTTGGACATTCGTTTATTTCCGTATAGAGTGGTAGCTACTGGGCCTGGCTGTGGGGTTATTGAATGTGTTCCAAATTCGAAATCGAGAGATCAGTTGGGACGACAGACTGATTTTGGTTAGTTATGTCCTTTTTTTTCAAATTGCTGGTGTATGTTCAAGAAGTTCTTTCTCTCAGAGTTTTAAAATTGGGTTACAGGACTGTATGAATACTTTCTGACGACATATGGTGACGAAAACACTGAAACATTGCAACTTGCAAAACGAAATTTCATTCGGAGCATGGCAGCATATAGTGTATTTAGTTTCTTGCTACAAATCAAAGACCGACATAATGGGAATATTATGATTGATAGTGATGGCCATATTGTTCATATTGGTTGGCCATTTTTTTTTGTTTTTGAATTTTTTTTTGTAATTGAAAGATTTATATCTTTATTTTCATTTGATTTTTCTATCCTCAAAAATAGTTTTTAGATTTTGGCTTTATGTTTGAGAGCAGTCCGGGAGGAAATCTTGGGTTTGAGCCAGACTTTAAACTCTCGCAAGAAATGGTAGCAATTATGGGTGGCAAAATGGAAGCACCAAGCTTTCGATTATTCGCTTCACTTTGTGTCCAGGCATATCTGGCTGTTCGGCCGTACTATAAAGTGCGTAATCCTCATCATTATTTATAATTATTTCGAAGAATGTTTTGCATACTAAATCTGAATTAACAGCAAGAATTTAATCACGAAACTTGCAAGTTTATGATGTGGAAATTGCAGGCATTTATTGCTTTAGTATCACTGATGCTGGACACACACCTTCCTTGCTTTCGTGGTAAAACAATACAGCAGTTCCGAGATCGCTTTGCACCACAGCTATCCGATCGTGATGCAGCAAAGTATATGATGAGTATAATACGAAATTGTTTCCTGAATGTACGAAGCAAAATGTACGATCAACTACAATACATACAGAATGAAATACCATATTAATTTATTGATGGTTGTTGAAAGTTTTGTATATATCAATAAAATTTCTATCTGATGAAATACAAACCTTTTCAAAAATATTTTGCTGAGTTTTCTTATATCCAAATCATTCCATGTTAAATGAAATCACTTGTAACATAATGTGCAAAGTTGAAATGTAATATTAAAGTATCAGAAAAAAGAAAATTATTGGAAATAATTTGCAAATTTTATGCTCTTTGTTATCAGTTAGTGGCGCATTCATATGCTGGACATGTAGGGCGTTATCATCATATAAGAGGCTTATGATGTTAGTAGTTCACCCGTTCATCGTAGTGTGCTTGTTGGTTAGATGCTAATTAAACTTTAAATGTAGAAAAATTTCCTAAAGATTAGGAAAGAAATTTCAGCGCGAGAGACTGCAATTTTACATCGGCTCCATATTAATGTTATTCGTTTGCTCTACCTCTTCGGTATCATGAGGACGAGGTTGTTTTGATGGTATAGCTGTTGAGCACTGCTCCAATTAATAGAAATTATTGATTGCTCACGAATGGAAGACTGAAAGATCCGGAAGGATCCCATTTACAATAAGTATGAAAAAAGTAGAGACGGATTGACAAGGTTTGTATTCTAATTTTTTTTAAATCTGATTAGGGCTTATTTAATACTGGCATTGTGAGAGTGATCTGTGAGATTGGTGCGTAGTCATGTTTGGCATTCATCAAGAATTTGACCAGTTAAGTCTTTGGGCAATCCGAGGATAAACGATTTGAAGGTAGGGGTTGTTGAGGTTTAGTCAGCTTTGCATTTCATTACAATGTTCTGTATAAGCTGCTATTTGGAAGTGATGTAAAACTGCGAGACAGAGTGGACATATAAATAACGAAACTTACAATTACAGATGGATTTCGAGTAATCGAAGAAATAAGCGATGAACTCTAGCCAAGTGGTGCTTACTGAATATTATTGATGTCTGGTCGAAAGAATCAGAAACGCAGCTTTTGATTTTAGGATAAATTGAAATCAATAAAATGAGTAAATCATCTTTGCAGACAAATTCGATTTTCAGCACGTCCACCGTCTTCAATTTCGAACTGTTGGAGTTTTTACTCTTCAATATAAAATATCATAACGTATTATATATACATGACTGATTCTTCTTTTGAATGCATTATTCACTAGTACAGTTGTATGTTTCATTATTTCTTCCAGTAACCAACCGGAGCAGCTTTCTCCGGTTTGTGACCGACCGCACTAATTTTACTCAGTCTTCATCAATGTCATGTTATTTGATTTCATATTCCATGGGGTTGTAACTACGTAATTCTGCGAATTCTTTGATATACCGAAGATGCCAAAGTTCGCGCCGCACATGAAACGTTTCAAACTTTTTGTTCCTTCAACTAACTTCACAATCCTCCTCCAATTTCCTTCTTTATCTTCATTACCATCTCAATCACAATCTGAAAATATGAAATTGGCAAATACAGCGATGTCACTTCATCAGTTCAAGCGACCAACAATTAACTAGCTAATTTCGCAGCACAAAAATACTCAACCCTTAAACTCGTTTCTCTGTACCCATGAAATATTTTCTCATAGCCAGTTTCTGGAACTTAGCTTATATGGGCCTCTGCTTAAGCTTAGATCATCTTCATTCATATTCTTAACACTTATTAAAGAAACATTGCTCATATTTATAATAAATACACATTTTTCAGTATTCAGATAAACAATAGATTTGTCGATATCCGTTCACTGTGTTATACTGCTGTTCATTGTCTCGATAACAGTTCTTCAACTGCATTATGATAGAAACAGAAATACATTCTTCTTTACTTCCAGACTAGGTTAGTGTGGCGGGTAGTCCGTTCTTCTTTAGCGCGATTTCGTTCCTTTTTAGTTCGATTTTCTCTTGATATTAATATCGATGGGATACTTCACTTATCAATTGATATATCAAGGGATGCATTGAAAATTTGATTTTTGCGCACTCTGCTTACGCTTCTATACATCAGAACACATTATTACGGACATTTTCTTCCAGAAATTCTGGAAATTTCCTGCTTTTACTTCTCTGTACCCAGGATGCAGCCATGTTTGGACGAGAGTTTGACTTTCATCGAATGGGAACTGACTATCGCAATAACGAACGAAAACCTAAATTACTGGTAGTCGACCGGTTGATTAAGTCCCATTAATCAATCTGTGCATACTGCACATTCAATAAATAATCTTCAGCAATGGACGAAAACTTACTGGCAGGAAGGAGTAAACCTCCTAATATTAATAAAAGCTTAACTTTTGATGAGGATGAAAAAACCCCAAAAATTTCGCTCGAATGAAGTTAATTTTTTGTTCCTTTTTTTTTTTTATTTTTTTTAAAGAGTAAATGAGATAGAAAATTATTTGAGAGCAGCGCAAGGCAGGACAGAACAATTGGCCATTGCTGTGAAGTCTTCAGTCCACAGAATGGAATCATAAGCGCCTGTGAGTCAAGATTGATCACAAAGTTTGTCCAAGTAGCTGGGAACTCTATTCTTGCCAGCATCGA